AGGGGCGGGACAGAAGGGGGGTGGTGTCTGTGTTGCCCCGCCGATAAAAACCTCACAAGTCCCGGTTCACCCTGAGATAGAATAGATTTATTAGCAAGAGGTAATCAGGAAACATATATTTTTACAAAAAAAATGGAAATATTTTTCCAAACAAGCTGTAAGTTGAAATAGTTTTAGGGCTTGAAAGAGAATTCTCATACCACGAGGTATTGCTTACAGCAAAAGTGTTCTGGTTGTTAGAGTGGAGCATGCCTGCCACTGTAAAGTTAAACTGTGTTTATATACTGTACAATGTAAAAAATACATGGTAATATTCACAGAATAAGCACTACATTACTATATTCCTGCTAGAAGGTGGTTAGACAGGATTACAGTATATGTAATAAAAACACTCGGTCATCTTTTTCTAATTCTACATCATGTTACTCATAGTGGTCACAAGGTCTACGGATCTACAGCATATCAACAGAAGCTTGTCGTGAGCCGTACGCAGCGAGGAGAGTCAAAGGGACTTTTCCATCTTCCCGATGTAGGAGGGAGTGGGGGCAGCGGCCGAGAGGCCCCCCCATGCCCAGCCAGCGCAGGGAGTGGCACACAGAGAGCAGGCAGCTTCACATGGAGGGATCAACTTTAATGCCTTCTCTTCCCCTGCCTCACCAAACTTGCCCAGGGATGTCACAGCTGACACTGCCTGAGCAAGAGCCACTCCGAGCTGCCCAAGACCCCCTGGGAACGCGGGGGTTCACCCCAACCCACCGCCAGCCCCCTCGAGAAGAACAAATGACAAAAATAACATCATCGAAAAGAAACCGGGACTCCAGCAAAGTGTTGATGCATGAAACCTTAAACGATGCGGGAAATCCTACGCGAGGTCTACTGCGGCCTAAGAACGAGGGGGGCGGTTTGCTTGGAGAAGCACAGACGTGGGAGTCACTCCAGGGCGTCCAACAGAAACAGATATTTACAGGATGGGATAGTGTGTGTATGCCAGCGGCCGCCGGCCACTGCTCAGGCTCAAGAAGGCAGTTTGGGCTCTATTCGCAGAGAAGCTTCATAAAGGGTTTCTTCGTCCATCACAAATGACTGGTCCAACAGGTACTGCGTCACCTGGGAAAACGAGAGCCGAACCGTTAATGGGGAGGACTCACCTCTGCTGCAGCCAATGATCAACACTGAAATTAGGAAACGGTGAAGGCCTGAGCAGCAAACGAGCAGCAGAGAAGTGCCTGCAGCTCCTGCCAACCAACGCAGGCATTGCACATCTCCTCCCAGCATTACAAAGTCTTGCCTCTCAGCTGCTCTTCTGGTTCTCTTGCTTAGTTCTCCTCTCCAGCAGTATTTTATCAGCCACAAAGTTCTATTCTGTCGACAAAAAATCCTGATAATTAAAGCACCATGTTAAGTGGGGAACCATGTTCGTGTTGCAGGAATGTGGCTGACAGGGCAGGACGTCTGTCGCAGTGCTAGAAGAAAACCTGCTCACAATTCCTGGCAGATTCTTCCCAAATTACTTTTTGGCCTCACTAGCTGCGTGGCATGTGTGGCCAATACCGAAGAGGGGCATAAGCCCAGCCCCAGGCTGGTAGTGAGGGTGCGGAGGGCAGGGCTGGGGCTGCCGGCATTGCAGAGGCTGAAATTGGGGCTCGTGGCCCCTCAACCTCCCCCAGCCCGGCCAGAGGTTGTGGTCCAGAGGGTCTGGGGCTGCTCTTGCCACTGCACATGGGAAAGTGGTGTCACCAGAGGGTGGTTTGGCCTGGCCTGAGCACCAGCAACACGGTGGCCAGGGCACTGGGCAGGGCCTGTGGGGCAGCAGCACCATTTCGGGCGGGTTTGCTGTTTCTGGAGAACAGCAGCATCGGAGGCGACGGAAACCTCCCCCCCGCCCCAGCAACCAGCCCAGTTCCTGTTCGGCGCTGCGGTGCTGTGGCAGAGGAAGTGAGAAGGCAGCCGAGAACTTTCATCTCATCACGTGTGGGGGCCACCACGAGGCAGAAGCCCCCCAGCACCAGGCTGGAGGTGCCCCAAAATCACTGTTTTTCCTTGCCTCCAGGGTGGGCTTTGCTGGTGCTGGGATAATTCCGCTGCAGGGAGGAGGCCTAGGGCAGCCACCCCCCATCCCTGTCCCCACTGCTGACAGCCTCCAGCCAGGCCCAGGCCCCAAGCATAGAGCCACCAGCCATGCTCCTGCCACAGCGCACAGGCAACGGCACTCAGGGCGCGAGGGCAGTGGCCCCAGCAGCCACCGACACTTGTTACATGTCCCCATGGCTGGGGCAAGGTCCAGCTTCTCCTTCCAGCTCCAGCTAAAACAGGAGCTTAAGCCGCATCCAAGTCCTGGAGCCGCTCTCCTGCAGGGACAGGGACCTCAGCAGCGCAGCAGCACCCAAGCCCATGCTCTCGCAGAGCACCCAGCTCTGCCTCGGCTGACGTTTGCCCGAAAGCACCTTGCAGAAGAGGGCAGCTCCATCCCTCACGCCCACCCACTCCCTGGAGTCCTTCCAGGCCATCGCAGGCCACGCTCCAGCCCCAGCTCGGCAAGACCATGCCGGGCTGCTGACCTTTGTGCCATGATCGCAGCGGCTTGCAACGAGAACAGAGTGAGATGGCAGTGAAGCGAGGGCCAGGCAGGGACAGTGCTGACTTGCTCTGGCCGAGGCTGGGACAGTGGGAAGTCACGTCCTTTAGCTCTGCAGGCAATACTGCGCCGATGATGAGCCATTTGTGGTTTGCCCACGCGTGCCAAGAGGAGCAGGGAGGTTGTTACATGTCTGCCATGCCTGTCCCCCTCCATCATGCCTCGCCTGACACAAGCTCCCGGACCTGCACTGATTCTGCTAAACTTTTCTGTCTTAAATTTCTTCCAGAAGCATCATACCTTCTCCAAAGGAGCTGCCAGAAACTGAACACTTAGACACTGTGATTCAAGGGGGAGGCGAGGAAGAGAGGGAGCATGTGGGTCTTGGGACAATGCCGTACCTTAGGCTGGTGCTCAATCTTGTAGGAGGTTTGCTGGAACTGGCGGATCTCTCTTATGATGTGTGAAATCTGTCCGGAGATAAAACACAGAAGCTGATTCCAGCACGGCCATCACTGCCGGCACCAAAACATAGCACCGCAGAGGTGCCGGGCAGCTGGTGGAGCACGCTCCATCTGCACCTTTCAACCACAGCATGATGCAAAGGGCTTTTTTTGTTTCTTTCAGCCACATCCCTCACTGGGAACAACCCCAGCTGTATGTGGGTGTGTGGGGGGACGTGTGTGGCTGTCCGGTGCTGTGCAACTGATGGCCAGGAGACTCACCATCCTCATTTTGGAGAAGTTCACCAGGCCGTCCTCGGTGTAATTCGGGGTACCCTCCTCGATGAATGCCAGGTCGGTCAGGTACATTCCCAGGTAGGGGACACATGGAGGGTCACAACTTTGGGAGCAAACCAGAAATAAATAAGAAAGAAAATAGCATTCCTTGGGGGCTTTGGAGAGGGGAGGAGGGCAGGACTCCACAGTTGGCAGAATCTGAAGGATTCTCTCTATATATTAGAGAGAAACAGAAACCCTTGAAGGAAGCTTCTCCCCGGGAAAGCTGCTGGTCCCCTGGGCTGCATCCGCTGTGCCTGCAGGCAGGGCAGGACATGCATGAGCTATGGCCATGCCCCGTGTGAAGCTGGGGCCTTCGGGAGGTGTCAGGGGCTACAGGAGGTGCCAGGGGCTGCAGGAGATGTTGAGGGCTGTGGGAGGAGAGTTGGGGGTTGCAGCAGGTGTCAGGGGCTGTGGGAGGTAAGTCAGAGGCAGCTTCAGCAGAGGGTTGGAAAGACCTTTCGAAGCTTCCCCTGCCAGTCTCAGCACCAGCAGCCAGCGCAAGCCCCACTGAGAGCTGAGGGCAGTGCTGGTGCTGGGCCTGTCCCCGGCCTTCGCCCCACACCCCAGCCCAGGCCCTCGCCGAGGGTCTCCATGAGCTGCTGACAGGACATGGACCGCGGGCGGCTGCCACACACAGCAATGCACAAGCCCTGGGGAGGCACAGCCCCGTGCTCCCCTGCTTGCCTCCAGCAAACACCAGGTTAGGACGGTTTGGGGAGCCGAGCGCTGGCTGCACCCAGTGCTGTGGGGCAAGCGCAATGCCCAGACCCCCCGGGTGTGCTGCCAGTAAGGTCCATGCTAGCAGCAGTGACATGGGCTGGCTGGTGTGAAATGAGCTAAATCTGGTACCCTTAGAGTCTGGAAGGGGAGGGGAAAAAAGGACTTTCCTAGTGTCTGGCAATGACTTCCCCTCTGCAAACCTTTTTATTCACATCTTTCCACACTGCTTTCTCGGGATCGCTTTGCAAGCCACTGCCCTGTGGCTGTTAAACAAGACACGTGTTGGCTCAGGCTCTGAAATGATTCGGTGAGCGAAGCCCTGGCCTGCAGCGCAGGAGCCAGGATGGGGTCCAGGCCCCCCCAGCACCACAGGGACCTGTATCCCCCCAACAGCAGCAGCTGCAGGAGAATCGCTGTTCACTCACTTTTTCAGTGCTTCCCTCAGGTTCTTGAACCTGCCCTCTGACGACACCAGCTTTTGTAGCTTATCGATCAGAGCCTTTGTCTGCAAAAAACCCAAAGTGTCGCTTGGAAAAGGCCCGGGAAGAAACCCCACACATCACCCCCCTCTGGCTGCTCAGCACCCTGGCGGGTACAAATCCTGCCCTGGTTGGTACACCCAGCACCAGGGGATGTCCATGGGAGCTGAGCACTTGAAAGCAAAGTTCCTCCATCACATAACAAGATAGACGATGCACTTGTTCCCTTCCCCTACCTCCTCCTTCATCAGAGCCTGTTTTCATTAACAGGTTTATTGCTTTGCAGGAAAAAGACAGTGTTGCAGATTGAGAGGAGCCCACACAGCAGCTCTGGCTTGGCAGCCGCTGGCCCCCATCAGGCTCCACACCGTGCAGATACAAGATATTTCTGTTCCAAGTAACTCATCACGAGAACTGATTTTGCTCATCTATAGTTGGTCTGAGAAGCCCAAAAAGCCAGTTTAAAGAAGGGTCTGTGCATGCATGTATACAGCTATGGAAAGGTTTCTTGAACCACACATCTGACCTACAGGATGAAGAACAAACCCAACAGCAACGCCGGGCCTGACCCACAAAAACCCGACGAGGGGTCGGCTCCGCACCCCTACCTGCTTGGAGACCTTGAGCCAGGTCTTCTTCAGGCGGAAGATGGCACTGCGGTTGAGGGAGGAGGTGATCTCCAGCACCGCGTTGTAGTTGTGCAGGCACCTGCAGATGTCTGCCACCGCCACCCATTTCTCAATGGCGCTGACCCGCGCATTGATCTCCTCATTCCGGAGGATCTCAGACGCGATCAGGTTACTGACCTTTGGGGAGACACCGGAACCAACCCACGTGTTAGGACGATTTTAGACAACAGCTACGTGCCCTCCAGCCTCGCAACTGTTCTAAAAAACATTTCCCCAGCAGGAGCAACCGCACCAGGAGATGCTCCACCTACAACCAGTCCCCAAGGCACATAACATCCACAGGGGCAGATAAATCCCGTACATCCCACCCCTGGCTAACTCTGGGGGTGGGTCAGCTGTGCTGCCTCGTCTTTGCCTGTCTCCCCATCCCTCGCTGTGGCTACACTTACATCGTTGAAGTGTTTTGTGTTCTTCATGATGTAGGGAGTCCTTTCGTTCTTCTCAAGCTTCATCCAACCTTGCCCAAAGAACTCTCTGCAAACAACAGTGTTCAGGTCAACATTTATTTCCCATTTTTCTAGCACACCCAAGCCCTGCAAGCTCCACTGCACCCACATGGGATGGAGATTCCAGGGCCTTTTCCCCACCATGCTGCTGGAAAGGGACCCCACGAATGTGAATGAAAGTGTGATGGATGTGGGTGGCTCTACCTGAGCTGGTCACTCCGGGGATGCCAGCAGATAAGCCAGCAGCTCAGGCCTCAGAGCTGGGCTTGAGCCCAGCCTAGGCTACCTGCGAAGCAGGCAGCAGCTGGGAAGACTTTGCACCCTCTGGCTTTAGCCAGGCCAGGCTCAGCTGCAGGGGAGCAGGCAGCCATGGAGCCCTGGGTGACCAGAACAGCCCTTCCCCACTCATGGGATCACTCACTCGTAGGGGATCTTCTTGAAGACCAGGTGATCCAGCAGCGTCAGCTGTTCCGCTATTTCCAGGGCTGAGTGGTTTTCAAAAGGTTCTGCTTTGACTCCCTCAGCCTGAGCAACAAAGGCAATGATGGGGGCTTGTTGCTTAAGACCACAGTAAGAACTTCTACATTTTAAGCACACAAACCCAAAGCCGAAGTCAGATTCCCAAACCAGAGGCTTTTCTCAGTGGAGTTGGCGTGTGCGGGGCTGCACTGGTCCGACAGCCCTGAGGCACCACATCCAGCATCCCACCAGCACTGAGAGGTGCCGGCTTCCCACAGACCTGCTAACCTGGCGCTTTTAATTACAGTATTGTCCGTGAACACGTACAAACACAAAATTAACTAATCTTCCCTATTTAAGTAATTAGGTATCAGCTACAGAATGGATCTCCACGCACCATCTTCTGCAACAGCTGCCTTTTTTCCTCTACATCTGTTTAACAAACAAAGCACTAGGGGATTCCAGCTGGATCCTCATGCCCAGCAGCTTGGTCAGCCCCACCAGCACCGCTCTGCCAGCACCTATGGGTGCTCCCAGACCGGCCACCACTTGCACAGCTCTTCCAGGAGCAGGAGAACAGGGACATCCCCCATCCCTGCTGCCTGGCTCTACCTGAGCGGCGCTTGCAGGCATGGGGGAACTCGGGGTGCCCCATGCTTGGAGCCACCGGGGCTGACAGCAAGAGTTGGCAGCCCCAGACCTGCATGAAGCATGTAGGGGCCTTGCCAGCCCCAACTCCGGGTTCTCCTAGCAGGGAACTGCCTAAAAACCTGTGGCAGCACCCCTCTTCCTGGAGCCAAGCAGCGTCAATCCTGTCGGGGGTCCCAGCAGAGGGGATGGAGCCTTCTGACCCCTCCCCAGCACTGGGAGCGGGACCCTGTCTCCGCGCTGCTCAAAGCAGTGGCACTGGGCATGTTGCTGCGTCCCCTGGCCAGAGCAGCAGTGCAGGGGGACGGGGGTGCAGGGGGACTGCACTGCGGGGGGGCTCGAGGTGCGGGTGATGCCGTGGGCCAGCTGAGCCTCCTGCTCTGAAGCGCTGCTGTGCCCTGAGAAGAGGCATCACCTCCCTCCAGCACCCTCTACGAAGAGGGGTCTGGGGAAGGCTCCAGGCACTCAGGGGCCAGCCAGGGCCCGGCCAACATGAGTTAACAGCCTGTTGCAAAATCCCCTCCTTTCGGGAAGAAGGTTGCGAAAGCGGCTCGAGGGCCTGTGGAGAGGCTGCAGGGGGGTGGGGGGGTACACACTGCGGGGTGCAGGCTGTGGGGGCACACCCAGAGCTCAGGGTGCTGCTGCCCGCAAACCGTAGGTGGGTAAGTGGCACCGGTGGCACTCTGAGCACCCTGGAGGACACTCCAGCCGAGGGGCTGGCATACAGCACAGTGCGCCCCTCCAGCTCATGAGAAGGGGCCAGGGAACCCACAGCCCCCATCAGCCCAGTCTGCGCCCCAAAACCCAGGGCTCCCTCGTGACCCCACTGCTCTTTGACCGCAGAGTGCTGCTGCTCAGCTGCTCAGCTCGAGGGATGGACCTGAAACCCGCTGGTTTCATTTGTTGTCACTTCTTCAAAGGAAGTTTCCAGCAGCCCAGGTTACAAACAGCTCAAAAAACCCCTGAGGGGCCTCAGCCACTCCAGGAGACAGACCCAGACCCAGGGCCCAGAGCTACTGTTGTTTCAGGTGCACCAGGCTGCTTTAAAGTGGCTCTTGGGTGTTCCTGGGAGCTGACTTTGTTTGTTTTTTAAAGCAGGAAGGCAGCAAGTGCCCTGCAGCCACCCTGACAGTTTTAAACTCATTGCATGTTCCCAGGGCTCTGCTCCCACCAATACCAGCTGGGCCAGCACCCATCACTTGGAACCAGTGCGGCAACAATGGCACGGGTTTGGGGACACAGGGGACACGGTGGAACCCCATCGGGTTTTCCTGCGTCCCTGAGGCAGGCATGGCTCTGTGCCCACTCCAGCCATCCTGCCAACTGTGCGGGAGGATTAAACAGCTGGTGGTCTGGATTAGTGTTGCCTCTACCCACAGCAGATCCAGCTGTGCTCACAGCTGGCCCTGTCCCCCAGAAAACCTTTCCCTGCTTTGCAGCCGTACACCCAGACAGGCTCGAGGAACTGCTCTCCACTGAGCCGGCAGCACCGGAGTGTGGGGATCTTTCGTTGCTCCCCCCACCACGATGCTGAGCTACCAGGCAGAGTGACAAAGGGAAGGGTAGTTACCATCTGTACGACCTCCTCCAGGGTTATCTGGTTGTCTCCTGGGTCCTCCTGGGTCAAGGTCCTGTGGCATGAAAAGGCAGCGTTACTCTGCGGGGAAAGCATCAGACCTGTACAACTTGGACGTGGCTGCAGCACAGCTTCGTGGTTTTTCACAGATTAAACACTTGGTGTGCATAAGAACACTTCTAAGTCCATTTCCCGTTTTAAAGACAAAAAAAAACCACCCTTGTTAACTGAGGCCCCAGCTGGCCCTGCATGCGTCACCCTGCAGCGTCACCAGGCACCCAGCACGGGGTGGCCCTGGGGCCGTCCCACAGCCCGCAGCAGGAAGGGCTGCAGCCTCACTGGGGTCACACCTGCGTGTCTGAGGGTGCAAGGGGGGGTCACGCCTCTGCCGCTGTGCAGATCCCGATGTGCCAGGGGTGATGGGTGCAGCCATCCTCCTCCTCCTCCTCCTCCTTGGCACCTCCGGAGCACCAGACCCTGACCTCGCACCTGCTCTGACCCCAGGGAAGCAGCCCAGCACAGCATCCAGGAGAAGCCACCTCCCTGCCATGGCCCTTCACCTTATGATGTTGGCAGCTGCCTTCCTCTCCTGGGTCAGGAGCTCGGGGTCGTGAATCACCTCCTCCAGAAAGCCAATCACCCTGAACTTCAGCTCCTCGTTGCTTTCAAAGTCCTGCCAACACCGGCACAGGCACTGCGTCAGCGCACTGTAACGTGGGTAACATCGACACCCAGCAGCTCCGCTCCCCACCCGCCTTGACCCGGCCACGACCAACAGCCCCACACTGCCTCTTCCCTGCAAAAGCCCAGCCCGTGGTGCCCAGCAAATGGGAACGGGTCAGGAAGGCACCAGGCTCATTCTGTCCCATTGCACTGTCATCGCTCGGCTGAGAGAGGCATGGGGGCGTCCCAGGGACACCCAGCACGGCACCGCTCCCCATGCGCCCAGCAGCCAGCACAGAGCGGGACAGGGACAGCGAGGAAAGCCACGTGGCTTCCTAACCCCGACCCCAGCCCGAAACCCCCAAACAGGAATCAAACCCAGCCATGCCACTTCCACGAGCCCAGGCAGGGGGTGACTGCAGACCCTGGCTCCCCCACTCTGCACACCAAATATGCAAATGCCACCATCCCACTGGACCCCAGATCTGTGTCAGGGGCTCCCTGCTCCCCTGCTTCACAGTTTTCACCTCCTCCCTATGTCCGCTCATTTGCTTCATTAAATGAAAAAGTGCCAAATTGTCTTCCTGGCTGGGGCCTGGCTGAAGCACCAGGCACGTGGCAGGGAGGGACGGGACGGTCCCCACCCGACCCACCTGTGAGTGTTTGGAGACCCAATGCCGCAGTACATTGAGGACCCGGTTGGTGGCTGCCCTCCGGATCACAAACTCCTTGTCTCCATTCCGCTGGTCCGTCGGAAAGCCTGAAACTGCCAGTGACCCCTCAGCATGGCTACAGCTCAGGAGGGAATTGCTTACAGATATTTTCAGGACTGCTAAAAGGAGCAGCCCCATCGTCCCGAGCGTCCCTAAGCTGCCTCTTAACCACAGGCAGCGGGGAGACTCCACGTTATGCAGCAGTGGGGTGCTCAGCCGCGGGCACGAGGGGCTCAGCTGCCTGCGACTCGCACATTCCTGGGCAGCCCCCATGCCCGGGCACCCAGGGGACACAGCCTAGAGCAGGTGGGCACTAGGCTGTGAGTGCTCTGGGCTCCCCCAGTCCCAGCCGAGGGCAAACCAGCCGACTATGGTAGAAACAAGCACCCCAAAAATGTGTCCCTGCGCTCTCAGCAGCTGGGGGCAGGGTACCTGCACTGGCAAGGGACATCCTGCGGTACTTCTCCTTGGTGGGGGTCCCCTCGTTGGCTCCTGCTGTGGCGATGGCGAAGGCAGAGGCAGCAGACAGGGCGCTGCGGGTGCTGTCGAGCTCCCGGCAGGACGGCATGACCACGCCGTTGTTGTAAGAAAACAACGAGAAATCTGGCAGGGAGAAGAAAACCAACACCACTTCGGAATTAAGGCAAGAGGGTGCTGCAGACCGTGTGAAAACAGCTACAGGGGAGACTCCAGCAGATAAACTGATGCCCGATGCCAGCCCAGGCTCATGCCTGGAGCAGCATTAACTCGCTCCTAAAGTGCCAGCTCAACCCCGAGGTAGGGGGGAGGGGTGAGAAGACCTGGTGAGATGCACAGACCAGGTCTGTGATATGGGCCAGAAAGCCTGGCATTTCCCTGTCCCATTGCAGGAAAATAAAGGGTAAAGTCCTGCTCCCTCTCACATTGCCTTCAGTTTTACACCTGCAGCTGTAACAGCTCTGCAGGGCCAGGTTCAAGGGCAGCAGGCAGCCCTGGGCAACCCCCAAGAGGGACAGGTCACTTGTTACCTGATGAATTTTTGCACTTGATGGACTTAGGAGTCGTTGGAGATTTTGTTGGGGAAGTTTCAGCTTCTGCTTCATCACTCTGGTTGGGATCCGTGTCCGACTCTTCCCTGACAGACACCTCTGAGCCTGGGAAGGACAGGGAACCCAGTTACCATCACTGCTGGACACGTGCACGGTGCAGCTGCGTTTCAGCTCTTCCAGATTTTCCTAAAGTCTCAATCAAACCAGCTGGGCCCACAGGTACAGAGTCCTGCAATTACTATGGGTGGTTTTGGGGTGGTGGGTTGTTTGTTTTTTTTTTTGTGGTGGGGTTTTTGGGGTTTGATTTTATTTTGTTATTACAGCTTTCTCAGCTTTCAGGCAGCACCTCTGTCATCACTGTCATCACCATCACCACCACCTCCACCCTCTCCCCAGCGCACAGGGGGCTGCTCGTGGGGATGGGGGCTCTCCCACACCAGCACACAGCCCACCTGCCTGCCCCAGCCTGGGGCTGAGCTTCTCCAGCCCCCCTGTGCTGCCCGGCCCCCTACGTGTGTCCTCGTACCCCCACAGAGCACCCACTGACACCGGCCCCCTCTCCACCAGCTGCCCGGGCCGGATGCCCACCCGCCTGCAAACCCCTAGTAACTCACTCTGCTTGCTCGGCAGTGACTCCTCTTGCTTTTCTGAGGTGGCTTCTCCTTCATCAGGGATTTTGTTGGGATAGTTACTGGACACGTAGAGTTTGTTTATGTCCAGGGTGGTCTTGCTGAAGGGAGCCATGGAGGAGTACATGCTGGCGTAGCCGTTAGAGGAGCAGCTGAGGGCAGCCAGGTCCAGCGCCTTCCCTCCCGTGATGATGGGGATGTTGAGGGAGAGCTTCCTCCGTCGGCTGGGGGACGAGGACTTGGTGATGGAGAGGGGGGGAGGCGAGGAGAACTTGCGGTTGGCCCTGGGGGACTTGGGGGGCTCGCCATACAGCAGCTTGTTGTTCTGGCTGTTTGCAAACAGGAGCTCCAGGGACCTTGGTGGAGAGACAGGGAAAGGCTCAACTTGCACCTACTCCGGTCGTGGGGGTCCCCAGTGGTGCTGGGTCTCTGGGCACCCCCCGCCCCCAGGCCGGTATGAGCCCCTGCTGCCCTGCTCCCATCGCGCAGTCTCCCCAGGAGCGGGGACACCCACAGAGCCCCAGTTCATCTGCTTCCCCCATTTGCTGGTATCACAACTCATGGGGAGCGGGTGAACCTGGGCCGGGCAGCCAGGGGCTGACTGGGGACAGATGAGGGGAGAGAGCCGCCCCCCCATAACCCCCACCAGTCCTCGTGGGCAGGAGGGGTCACCGGCACGGGCACTGCAGCGATGCCACACGCAGCCTCACCGTGCAGGTATGGCGCTGATGGGCTTCTTGTAGATGGTGATGAGCTTGTCGAGGACAACCAGGGCAGTGGTGAAGACGCGGTACGAATGCAGGAACGTGTTCAGAAAGTCAATGCTCAGGAACCGCAGGTCTGTCAGCCTCTCCAGGAGCCGCTCCACACTTGCATAGCGGATCTGCAGGACCTTGCAGGAATTCATCGTTTTACTGAACCTAATGTCAACATCATCACAATACAAGCTGGCATCAGACCTGCAGAGAAACAAGATATCTGTGGTTCCAGCCTGGAACGAAACCAAGAGCTGCTTCGCACGAGCAGCTTCCCCCCGAGCTGTGCGGGGACCACAAAAAGTGGTACAGGTCCTCGGCAGCAAAGGAGCCTCGTTCTCACGGGGCATCCCTATGTGAAATGCAGGCAGGAATATTCCCAGGGAAAATCCAGGAAATCCGCACCCTGGCATGGGTGGAAACACTGCACAGTGCTCAACAGGCAGAGATTTGGGCAAAAAACATGAATGATTGTCCCCAAGGGACACCCACAAACCAAGACCCTTCCCCACCTGTGTCACCACCCCTTTACTATTACTACTTTTTTTTGAGCTCTCCCCTTCAACTTTACCACCTCCCTGAGCAGAATCCCACACAAATCTCCTCTCCCAGCTAATTAGTGCTCCCTATCACCACACTGGGAACAGCATACCCGAGCGCCTGAGCCGTGGCGCTGCCAGGGCTCTCGGCAGCGTTCGGCTGGCATGGGAGCTGGGCTGTGGGGCTGGGCAGAGCCCAGCGCTCTCAGCAGCACCCAGCCACAGCAGCACTCACTTGATCATCTGGGGGACGGTGACCTTGGAGTTCTCCTCAAAGGCATTCATCATGAGGCCATTGCAGCGGATGTTGTCCACGCACTGGAAGAGACGTGGGTGGGAGGTGGGCAGAGACAGCAAGGATGGCCCTGCTGCCTGCCCAGCTTGGACACGCTGGATGAGAGCCTGAGCTTGGCCTTATCCAGGCAAAACCCATCCTTGCCACCTGCATCCACCACGCCCATGGAGCTGGGAAGAGAAGAGCTTCTGCATGAAAACAGGAGCTTCACACTCTGGGTCTGCACCCTGATCTGGGGGAAGCATCACCCAGAGCTGCTCCCCAGCAATCCCAGTATGGCACTGGCCCCGGCTCCAGGTGTGCTGGTAGACACAGTGGCACTGCCAGAGTTGCCAGAAACCTGCTCTCATCTTTTAGCACCATTAATTTAACACCCCTCACAGCCTGTATGGAGGGAGACCTGACATGAAGCAGAGTGGCACCAGCCCCTTCGCTGGCTTTGCTGGGCTGGAGGCTCCCACGCAGGCAGGACTGGTCTGGACCTGGTGGCAAGCGAGACCAGGAGCCACCTCCCCATGTGGGGCCAGGCCCCAGTTCTTGCCCGCAGCTCTCCTCGAGCAAAGATGATCGGCAAGGGGATGCAGGCAAGGACACGGTACAACAGGAGGCAATCCCTAGCTAACCAACAATTAATTCTCCTCCTCCCTCCCAGGAAAAAAATATCTTAAAAGTCATTTGCATAAAGCAATCAAAGAGCAGGTGTAAATTGTTACCATGTGTCTGAGTCAGAGGAAGAATCCAAACCACGTATCTATGTCTGTGGGCAGAGCACCGACAATGGGACAGACCCTGCTCCTGCCAGCTGCAGCTGCGGCACCCTCCTGCTCCACCTCCTCTCCCAGCTACCGGACACCAGAACGCTTTTGGCAATGGCCAGGCTCCCAGTGCGCCCCAGCTCCCAGTCACCACGCTCCTGGGGGACCCGGGGCTCGCTGCTCCAGCCGCATGGTTCACAGCGGCCCAATGCAGCGAGGCCTCAGCCCACGGCAAGTCCCCAGCACCCCAACAGCACCCAGGGTGCAGACCCAAGGCCTGGCAGCAGAAATGCAGCCACACGATGCATGCTGCGTGTTCATTCCGGGTCCCCAAAGCCGCTGCCGCAGCCTGCGTAGGGGCAACCCTCCTGCGGGGACGGCGCGTCCCTGGGAACTCTACGCCCCGACACCTCCTCCCTGCCTGGTCCATCCTACCTGGCTGATGTCACTGGTCCATGCAGCCTTCTCCTGCCTGGATGAGGCCACCAGGATAACCGTAAAAGATGAGGAATCTTTAGGCTCCACTACGATTTTGAAGTCAAGATGGTCAATGTCTTGCCCTGATGTTTTTGCTTTGGAACAGAAAAACCACACACAGTGATTGCGAAAAGATTCCCCCACACCCCCGGCACAGTCTTTGTTAAGGTTTTAAGGAGCTCATTGTGTTTTGTGGGTTGCCTGCAGTGAGGACAGGACAGGTTTGCTTGGCAAAGGCTCTGTGTTTGCAAAATAAAATCTGCACGTCACGAGTGCAGCATGGCCTCACTGCTGGCACCCAGGTGCCATGTGCTGGGGGGAACCCGGCTCCCTGATGTGTTAGGAAACAGCCATGAGGACAAGGGTCTTGGTTTCAGCTGGGACAGAGTTAATTTTTCTTCTTAGTAGCTGGAATAGTTCTGTGCTTTGCATTCAGTGACAATGATGCTGTAATACACTGATTTACAGTTGTTGCTACCAGATCAACGTTTCTCCAGCTCCCCATGTCTTGCCCATGTGTGGGTGCACAAGCTGGGAGGGGGCACGGCCAGAGCACCAGACCCAAATTAGCCAGTGGAATATTCCACATCATGTAACGCCATGCTCAGATAGAAAGGAGGGTGGCCGGGAAGCAGGAGGTCATCTCTCGCTTCTGGGATTGCGACTGTGGGATCTTGAGATTTTTTTGGGAACGGGCTGGGTATCAGTTGGCAGATGGTGAGCAGTTGCATTGTGCATTACCTGATTGTACTTTCTATTATTGTTATGGGTTTATTTTATGACAATTACTAAAGTCTTTTTATCTCAACCCACAAGTCTTCCTTTACCCCCCTAATTCTTTCCCCATCCCTGGGTAGGGGGAGGGTGAGCAAGTGGCTGTGGGGGGTTGGGCTGCTGGCTGGATTCAAACAACAATGGCCCTTTTTGGTGCCCAACGTAGGGCCCAAAGGGTTGAGGTAACAACAGATCAGATCCCTACGACAAGAAAAGGGAGCCCGTGCTTTCTGACAGGCCTGCGGCTGCACAGGCATGGCTGCCGACGTCCAGCACGTTTGCCTTTTCCTGCTCGCTAGCACCGAGCTGGAGGCAGCTGCCTGCCTCGAGAAGGTCAGATTTGCATAATTGCACATCTGTTTGGTTGGCAGTAAATAATTTACTTAATTAAACCCACCCAGTAGATCATGACTTCCTTGAATCTATCCAGCATCTCAATTTGCTCTGACTCTGCTGCAGTTGGTTCCACACCCCGCAGAGGGATGGCAGCGATGTCACCGCCTCAGTGACAGGGGACACCTGTAGCGCCAGCCACCCCGCCACCGCTCCGCCCTGCCATGGGGTGACCACGCTGCGAACCCCCAAACCTACCATCCTCGTCGGTGCTCTCCTGCTCCTCCACCAGCGTGCAGTCGATGAGGGAGATCACGCCGTTCTGCAGGGGTGGGAGTTGGGGCTCAGCAGCAGGATCCCCCCTGGGGGGACTGAGGGCTGCCCTGGCCCCCCACCCCACAGCCACTGCCCCGGGAACAGGGGCAGGGATGGGGTGATGCTGCCAAGGGTTTCAGCCTCGTGCAGCCTGTGGCCAGCGCAGCATCTGCTTTCACTGGGAAAAAAGCAGTTACTGACAGCTGGGATACCACGGTTTTCCTTGTATAACTGATCAACTATTTTCTTTATAAATTATTTAATATGAGCTTTAAATTAAATTTTCCAAAAGCCTGTTGTTGTAATTATCAACTCTTTGCCATGGACTGTAATTTTTCAAACTGATAATTTAATGCCAGTAATGAGCAATTCCTGTCAGATTCTTGCTCAATTAACTGCAAAACTTCTACCAATAAAAGCACAAGTCTCAGGGCGGGCTGGAGTGTTACGTACAAACCTGGGCTACCATTCCAGTTTCTCCCCGACTAGATTGCTGCTGCTGCTAACCACGAAAAATTCTTTTACCAAGAACATGCAATTTCTCATCTTTGCCCACGACTCAGAGCTCTTTACATCATGGACAAGGCGTCTGGACCATGCAAAATAAATCCGGCTGCCTGCCTGCTCCCAGTCCGGTTCCCCCAGGAGGCTGCAGCCCCGGGGGGAGGGTGAGGTGGCCCCCGGGCCCCCGGTGTTTTTTCGGATATTTTCGGTCTCACTCACTTCGTCGTGCATTATCCTGAAGGAGGGAGAAAATGGGAGCTCGGATGAGATCTGTGTCAGTCTTCCTAGTGGATCCCTTTGGACAGAGGGGAAGGGCTGCACTAGGCGAGACCAAAACTGAAGAAATATTCAGGGAATTACCACAGTCAGCAGTACCTATACAGACCTGAGAGCCCAGGAGGTAACCTACACTCTGGACTCTACCTCCAGATTTCTAACTACTGAAACAGAAGTGCTTCTTGCTCGGAAATCACAAAATTCAGATTTAGGGCAGACAGATCCTCCCCCTGTCACCAGCCCCCTCCGACGTCCCCACTCCTCAAGGAGTGGGAAAAGGGATGGAAACTCCTTTTAGGGATAGCCTCGGGACCAAGGAGCGCTGGTGGGTTTCGTGCCGTCACAACACACTGGCATGGGACACACGGAACACTTCGGCCCGTGGTCTGCAGATGGAGAGGATCGGAAATGGGGAATCATGGCCGATTCCCAAGCGCTTGTTGCTGAGAGCTCGAAGTTGCTCCAGCCCTTTCCGTGGGGTAGCCCCCCAGCACCCAGCCCCACCAGATGGAGGAGGGCAGAGCCCGACCTTCAGAGCCATCCCAGCCCCCAGGACTCGTATTATAGAGCCCTGGAAAATGCAGCCCCCAGGCAGAAGCAGCTGGTGCCTGTCCCACCCGCCCCAGGGACGAGTTGGAAAGGGAGGGCAGGAGACGGTGCAGGCAGGTCTCAGCCTGGGGAAGGCAGAGGACGGGGTCCATGGGAGGGCAGGTCCTGGCTAAAACAGCACCAGGCACCTTGGGCGCGGGGCTCTGCCTGCTGCCTGCACCCGAGCTGTGGGCAGGGTGTGTGGGTGAGCAGGACCGGCAGGGCCAGGCAGCAGTGGGTCTGACCTGGAGAGCTCTTCCAGCTTGGACTTGGCGTAATCCAGGCTGTTCCTCTCCACGTGCTCGTGGGGGGTGTGAGCCAGCAGCTCGTGCAGCGTCAGGATGTACCTGGGGATCTGCGGCACAACAGACCGGAGCCGGGCGTCAGTCGTGGCTCAAGGTGGGGCGGGATGAGGGGGGCACAGAGGGCTGTTGGAGCTCACACCGTGTGGCTCCTGTGCCTCGGAGCCCCTAGTCTGGGAGGTTAAGCAAGCTTCACAGCTCCTCATGCTAAAACTTAGTGAGGAGGGAGAACAGCGTGGGGCTTTGCCCAGCACCCTGCTGTGCCCCCGCCACGTCCCAGAGCTGTGGGGTAACTGGGGAGGCAGAAGCTTCACCCAGAGCCCTCCCGCAGCAGTGACAAGCCCTAAGCCGGTCCCAGGAGCAGCGTGGGGGTCAGCCCCAGGCTATCTTCACGCTGAATTTGCCTCCCCAGAACCCAGTGCCTGCTGTGGGGGCTGGGGTTGGCATTGCTGGGGCTGATCCTGGTCACCTGGAACATGGGGTAGGTCAGGAAGGTCTCCAGGGTCCTCTCCTCGCAGTCAGGCTTGGCTTCGTAGTGCTTCAGCAGCTTGTCAAAGTCCCGGTTCTGCTTGCAGTGGGCCAGGATCTGCAGGCTGTACTGGTGGTTCCTCACGAACTCCTGGTAGATGTTCAGCATGGGCAGCAGGATGTCGAACAAGTCGGCTGCGAGCAAAGGCAGTGGGGAGGTGGTGATGGCCCAGTCCTGGGGTCCTGGCACAGCCCCCCCCAGCTCCTGACCCTCTTCACCCCTGGATCCCTCCTTGGATCCCCTGCTGGGGCCTCGTGCTGCTTGTGCAAACCCCAATTCTGCCCAGTTTGGGTTTTAAAGACACCCTGTGGAGCTGGCTGCGGGTCTAACCGCATGCAGCAAAGCTCTTCAACATCAGCTCTCCCAGACGCGGCCCAGCCCACCCCCCCCACCGCCCGCCAGAATCAGGAACGCAAGAATTGGGCTACTCTGGGTTTTTTTCAGGCCTTGCCTCCACAAGCGACATGGACAAGCAGCGAGGTGCCGCGCAATGCGTTTCACTGCTGCTGCCGGTTAGCCAAATGCCGGCTGAGTTGCAGGAGGAGGAGCGCAGGGTTGGCTCTGTCAGCGAGGGGGAAGGAAACGCGGGGAGGGGGCAACACGCACTCACCCAGCACGAGCGTTGGCCAGCTGGATATCCTCGCCTTCAGGCCTTGGTAAAAGATTTGGTGCAAAAACATGATCGTTTCGCTGAAAGATAAACCAGGGGGTGAAAGACAGATGAACGAGTGGCGAATAATGAGTAATTAGACAAAATCTTTGAGCCTGTCTGCCTCCCTGCCCTGACGCTGCCGCCCACCCAGGACATCCCTGCTCTCACCCGCCTCTGCAGGACAGGGTGCTCCTGGCCAGAGCTCAGAGGCTGGCCCTGGGTCCTCCACTGCTCATTTTCCAAGAGCCCTTATGGCGAGGAACCTCCCTTGCGCCACAGAGCTGCGACGATGCAGAGGAGGGGTGTTCAGGGGTGCTCACACTGTCAGCACTGGCCCCAGGCAAGGCACTGGATTCACACAAGCCCAGAGATGGGGGTGAACTGGAATTTGGCTGGCACCCCACGCAGCCCAGGGAGCTGAAAGTGAGGTCTGCAGAGAGGGGCAGGAGTGAGCACCAGGAGCAGGGAGAGCTTCATTCCCTGAGGGGTGGGTGGCCGGCACCTCCAGGGCTGGCAAGGCTGGCACCTCCAGCGCTGGTACCGTCCATGGGACAGAGCCGTTGCAGCTGCCATTAAACCTAGCACCTCTGCTGGCACACTGGGCAGTGCCGCAGTCCAGCTGGAGTCAGGGAAGGGTTAGACTGGCTATTAGGAAGTGCTTCTTTCCAGAAGGGGTTGTTGGATGTTGGAATTGGTTGCTCAGGGCAGATGATCTTTGAGGTCTTTTCCAATGGAGATGATTCTGAGTCAGTGAGTCAGTGAGTGCCACCTCCCAGCTCTGACCCCACGTCGCAGCTGCAGGAGAGGCTATGCCTGCCTGCTCCATACCACCTCCCCAGAGAGCTGCGTCCTCCCCGCCCTGCTCCCCTCTCATTACCTGCGGCCTGCTACAAATACCAAAGGACAGTGCCCTCCCCACCACCTGAGCTACGAACCCACACAGATGGGCTCCCAGCAGCCCCCCAGCACCAAGCGCCCAACACCCATTGGGCTGCGGACACCAACACCTGCCCGGAGGCTCTTGGAGCCTGGGACAGACTCACCTGTTGAGGAATATGCTACTGACGTCGTCGTGCGTGATGGGAGGCTTCTTGGAGCTGGCTGCCATCCGCAGCGGCCGGAGGAAGTTGTTGACGAGGATATGGAGCTGCTGGACATACTCGGCCTCTGCCTCCAGCATGCTGAAGACAACCTGGTTCCTCTTGCGCATGCTGTCGGCGTGGGGGGACCTGATATAGTCCTGGATGATTGTCTTCCACTTCCTTCGGCACAGCCAGCCCCGCAGGAAGCTCTGGACCTGCCAGGGGGGCAGCAGCCACGTCAGGGTCCGGGTCAATGAGCCGGGCAGGAGCCCCATGCTCAGTACAGTGCTGGGGCTGCAGCTCTGTGCGAGGTTTCCCCAACTCTGTGCCGAGGTGTGCACAATGGGGCCTGATACTGGTGCTGCTCTGAACCCTCCTGACTGGGGAACAAATAACTACTCATTGAAATGCATGTGCTTATTGCAGGCAATGTCCTCTTTCCCTTTTGACAGAGATATACAGAAGACTCCCACGAGAAGCAAGGATCCCGTGGTAATTCCTGACCTTCCCGGGCACGATGCTGGGCACTTTCCATGTCTCTGGGCACCCAAATGTGTAGAGAGGCATTAAGTCACCTAGAAAAGCTTCCAACCCTTCATCAGGTGAACGAGCACGGCAGCACATCCCAACCCAGGCCCAGAGCTCAATCCACGCCTGTGGCTGCTGCCCACCACCCCAACCCTGGGTGCCCGGGGCTGGAAGAGACTTCCCGAGGGTCGGGCGAGGGCAGAACCCGCTCCTCAAGCAGTGGCAGTGCTGGGCCCCTCTGTGGTACCAAGGGGAGGCTGAGGCACTGCCAGGTTTGGGGAACCCACCGAGCGCTGGCCTCTGCGTCCCTCACCCGCTACCACCCACCTTCTTGATTTTCTTGATGTCACTGTCATCGTCGCTGGGCGTGCTGGTCTGGCCGGCTTGGATGCGCTCATGGTCCTTGAGCAGAGAGGCGATCTGCAGGCACAGGGGGGATGTCAGTGGCCCCAGCACCTCCCCGGAGCCAAGGACAAACCCTGCTCCTGCAAGCGGCACATGCCTCCAGCTCAACTACAGATCCAGGGACATATTGTGCTGGTTCTGTCTTAACGGGAGATGGGTAGATGAAGCAGAAAGGAAACGCTGCCAGGACACTGCCAGCACCCACCAAACGCGCCGCAGAGACGGAGACCTGGAAATCCTGCTGGGTACCCAACGCCAACCGCATCCCGGTTTCCTAAGGAAGCCTTCATGGGCGAGTCGTTAAAAAATGAGTTGGAGAGAAAATGGCAGAAAAATCTCAAGTCATTTGCAACCTAAAACTTGCAGATGGGGACCAACTCTCATCCAGTCACAGCTTTCCGACACAAATTGGATCAGATCTCGTTAGCTTTGAGCGTTTGAATTTCTACTGTTTCTCGCCTGTACTTTTTCTCACTCCTCTGCTTGTTGCCGTGTCCCTGCCCCCACGGCTTCAACCGTTTCAAGAGCTACAGGGAAGGGTAGGAAAACAGAAAGTGTACCATTCAAAAATGAAAATTGGGAAAAATGTGATTTGAATTTAGATTTTATAGAAAATAATACAAGTAAGAAAACAACTTTCAAAGACTAATTTCCCAGGGGGAAAAAAAGTCCCATTTTGGAGAGAAAGGAGGAAAAAGGTAGATTTGAGTTGAGATCTTTTTCACTGTGACTCTGCTGCCCAGTGACGCTGGGAACTGACAGCAGCAGGAACTGCGATATGTGCCGAGCGTGTGCTGGACTGTCAGGAGGGAAAGCAGAGTAAGGGAAGGGGAGAGATGGCTGCGGGGGGAGGTGGTCAGGGGCTTCTGCTGCCTGGTCATGGCCAGGGAGGAGCAAATGACTTCCTCAAGCCCCAGATTGTGACAAAGAGCTGTGCGTGTTCACGCTGTAAGAAGCAAAACGTGCTTCAATGTGGTCACTGTGACTGAGCCGAGCTCCTGAACTCTCCCAGAGCCACCCAACACTACCAGGGCCTGATCCAGCCAGCCCCACTTGTGCCCCTGGGGTGACCCGGCCATGGCTCCAAGGTGCTCGGCTGGAAGCAGTGGGGTGCCCCGGCCCCCCAGCACCACAGCTCTCCCAGTGCTCCCAGCACAGCCATCCCCAGCATTGCCGACCTTGGCAGGAGCGGCAACATGCCAGAGAAAGCAGCCATGGGCTCACATGCAGCTCTATCAGTTTCATCCCATTTTATTCCACGGGATGAGATTTTAAAGACTTTTTCCTCTCCCTGTGCTTTCCTGCCACCAAACAGCCCCTGCATCTCCTCTGCATTGAAGCGTTTGGGAGCACCAAAGCCATTCCCTGTGCCGATTCCAGGCGCATCGTGGCCAGGATCCATGAAGTATGTTAGCTGGTGCCATAGTTTTATTTTGGTTTCTTTTTTTTAAATTGAGCGAGCAAAATTTGCACATTAAAGTAGAAGCTGATCATTTGATCTCTGCTTCAAAGCTTGTGGAAGAGTAAAAACACAAACCAAACCAATGCAAGGTAAAATCAAAAGTACCTGGGCACGGGGGACAGGCTGCAGCTCTGCCCGACATCTCTGACTGTGACCCCTCAGCTAATTTCAGGATTCACAACACATCTCCCAGCTCCCCTGACCGAAAGTTCATCAGGATGCTCATCGCTCGCCTCCCCCGCCTCTTGCACTGGCCGTGCTCCTGGGGACACAGAGCCTGCCCCGACTCGGCGGCAGGACCGGACCCAGGGAGCTCCTGTCTGGCACCGGACCGGAGCCCCAGGAGAAACCCCGGCTCGAGCAGGTGCCACGGCCTGGGGTGGTTTTGGGGCTGATCCTGTTCTGTTGGAAAGCACAAACTCAGTGGTGTTGAAACTATCCCTGGGAATGGCCTGTGGCTCCCCAGTCCCCCAAGACTAAAAGCAGCCTTCAGTGTACCCTGACTCACGGGCAGAGATTGCTATTAACCTGCACTGTTTAACTCCAAAACCAAAATTTAAGGAAAAGACCCCCATGAGGATGCATCAAAACACTCCAGCCCTCACTGCCTCTCCAGCTGCCTCTTTCGTGGTGATTTTGAGATTTGACTGACTCGGGGTCAACATCTCAGACCAGGAGGCAACAGGACCCACTCCCGGCTGCCTTCACCATGGAGCTGCTGCCTGACCCTCCCTGTCAGGGCCAAGGAGGGGGCCGGTGGCAGGACCAGCCCCGAGGTGCAGGACTGGTTTGGGGGTGCTGGACCAACACTGGGGTGCCCCGCAGTTGCCAGTTCCAACGCCCCCCAGCAGCCAAAGCTCAGGGCTGGCTGCAGCCCTGCAACATGGGGGCCAGGCAGCCCAGGGCAGACCCCCACCTCCGAGCATCCTCCTCCCTGGTGCCTTAGAGACGTGCGCTTCCCTCAGCACCATCTGCTGAGTCATTTTTGCATGTTTGTGCTTTGTCTGCCGTAAACCCCGTCACGTCACCCTTCCTACGACCCAGTGCCGCAAACAACGGAGTGGTGAGCCGCTGTGAGAGCTTCTGGGCCAAGCTACAGTCAACAGGTTGTATGGGCTGCTCCTGCTGGAGACACGCTCCCTTCTTCATGAACCGTCTGTTCATTTCTAGCCCTGCACATGTTAATTCCCTGAGGTACTCGGGTTATCAGGACGGCTGCAGCTTGCAGCTGGCACAGGTTCCTTCACAAAGCCACAGACGCCTCTCCCCTGTTTCTGTGACTCCTCTGGCCTTGCACCACCCAGCAGATGGGAGCAGCGGGCGCACGGCCTGCAGAGGGGCTCTAATCGAGGTATCCAGGATCAAAATACGGAAGGAGAAATGGTAAGATAAGGCATCTCCATCCCTCCCCTAATACCTGCACCCAAGGGACCAGCTCACCAGCCCATGCCCCAGCGCTCATCACTGGGGCAAACCCTTCCCCACCGTGGCAGAGTCCCAGGGACCCCAGAAAGCCCCACAGACACACCGTGCACATCCAACGCAGGCAACATCCTCGCTCCTCTCTGCAAGAGAAGGGGCCAGCCCGATGTCATTAAAACATGCATAGATTCACTGGCTGTAACATCCCCCGGCCCCGGCCAGCACGGCGATGCCACCCGCCCACCCGCGGGTCACCCCGGGGAGCAGCAGCGCATCTGCAGGGCGACGCCGGGTTCTTCACCTCGGCCTTCAGGCGCTCGATCTCGATCTCCCCGTCCTCGATCTGCTGGCGGAGTTGCTTGGCAACGGTCTTCTCCGTTTCCACAATCTGCAGGAGATGGAGGTACTTCTGCATCAGCGCCTCATGCTCCGTCGCCAGGTTCCTGTAGCTGCAGGCAGACACGGCCGTGAGCATCCCTCCTCCTACAGACCCACCGCCACACACCCCCCTGGGATGTGCACAAAAAATTAGGTGTCTGCAGGTGGAGGTTTGCTTGGGGGGTGTTCCTCCTTCCCGGCTGTCTACACATGGCCCTTGTCCCTCTGGCTCAGGGTACCAGAGGGGTTAATGAATGGGGAGACAGCTCTCACAGTCTGGGATGCTGCTGCTCAGAACTGACCAGTTTGGAAAGGAGTCGGGTTCCCCATAAAGGTGTAAACAGAAAACACAATGCAGATTTTAAGGAAATGGTAGGAGACCAAAAAAACCCCCAAAAAACTCATGGCCAAACCTCTCTGACCGACCACATCCCAAGATGAGAAGACACTGTGGTGCAAGCTCTTAGGAACATCTGCTCTCGTTAAGGTGCCACAGCAAATGATATTTCTCCGATTTCCTGCTACAACCCTCACCTGCCCCCACTTCCCACTGCCAGCCCAGCACCCTCCTTTGCCAGACGCAGCTGGGCCAGTTCCTGACTGCTCCCCCCCAAGCGAGCAAGTGGGCTGCACTTGCATTCCTGTGGTGCAGAAATACGAGCTTGGAAAAACCTCTTTCTGGCCATTTTTGCTACTCCATTAAACCCTTCCCAGTGGCCTTTGGACCTGATGGCGAAGTGGGCACCCCTCCATCACCAGGCTGGGACAGGCAGAGGCCACGCTGCTGGGACAGCTACTCCATATGGGATGGGGATGGGCAAGGGGGGATGCCTGGATGCAGCCTCCTGCTCTGACACTGGGCCAGGGGCTAGAAGCACTCTGTTCTGCCTTCCAGCTTGATGGCTCCCTGCCCGCAGCCCTGCCCGCAGCTGCCCTTGGGCACGGCTTCACCTCCGACACCCCCGTCTGTGGGTCTGCACTGGTGGAGGGTGATACCTGGCGTGAGCTATGGCTGCCACCCACTCGTCACAGTCCTTGGCATCCTCGGTCCTCAGCTCCAGGGTCTTCTGGTTCTCATGATTGAAGTTAACAGTGAAGTAATGCTGCGGGAGCAAACAGGGGCTGAGGTTACTGCTCGCTCACACAGGGCTGTTAGAAAAGCACTTTATGATCACTTAATTTAAAAAAAAAATAACATTTTGGAACACCAGGAGCACAGCCGGGACACGCTGCCCTTGGCGCTTGGGGAAAAGCTGCGCCTCAAGCGCAGCCGTGCTGGGGCAAGGCCGGGCCTGAGAAATGCTGTGAGGGGAAATCCCACTGGACAAACACCGGGCTGCAAATAGACTGAGAACTTCCAAGGACCGGGAGGCTGCAGGCCTGAGCCTGCGGTGATGGCCACGGGGACAATCCCAGAGCTGGCACCAGGCTGCCTGCATCCCTGCCTGCGCCGGCAGCAAGCACCCGCAACACCACAACGAAGCTCCGCGGCTGCCCGGGGCCTGGCGCTGGGCACAGCCCCGCTCCCACGTGCTCACTCTGCTCCAGCCGGGAGGCTCTAATGGGCGATGGTGTAAGAGGACTCGGCGCAGGACGACTATATTTAGCCTCCCTTGACATTTACAGTATTTGTGCTAATTGTGTGCGGCGGCAGCCCGCGGCGGCTGGGGTTTGTGATGCTCCTGTGCTTGCCTGCAGTCTCCTAGGAAACAGGTACCACGCTGCAGTGTCGGGTACTGCCCGGAATAACTGGGCTAAAACGAAACCCACGAGAAAAATCTCATCCTTACATTATCTGCTCCCCTGTTAAGTTTAGCGAGGGATCTGGATTAACAAAAAAACACTGCACCGCAGGCAGGGATGGGGCGTTATGGGGTGCTATGCTGGGGCAGAGCTGGCCCTCGCCCAGTACAGCCGGGCAGCCCAGCACCATCAGCAGCCCTGTGCTGAACCAGGGGTACCACTCAGCAGGCCACATCAGAGCCCTCACTTAGAAACAGCCCAGAAATTTTAAACCGTGCAGGTAGTTCCACCTCTCTGCTCTGTGCCCATCTCTCTTACATCCCTTCCCTTGCAAAGAGCTCGTCAGCTTGGCAAGACTGGAAGTCCTCCCCTTCCAACACCGACTCAGCAGGGCACAGCCAAGCACTTGCTCCCCACCCCGGAGTGTCCTGGCCAGGGGAAAATGGGAAAGTGGAAAAGTCCTTTCTCAGCCCCGGTGCCACCATGAGCTGCCGGTGCTGCGGGGACAAACCGCCCTGATGCCGCAGCGCGGGCGTTCACCGAGGCACCTCCCGACACACCAGCATCAAAAGTTTCATCAGACAGATTCTGGCTATTCTTATTTAAACCCAGAAACTCCTGGAGGTTTTGCAAATTGCAGTTTCGATGCTGTCTGAGGCAGAGCGGGACAGTGTGGGGCTGAAGGCTTCCCACAGCTGCGGCCAGGACAGTTCTGTCCCGGCAGCTGCTCCATGTGCAATTAAAAGCCGGTTCCCAGGAGCGCGCGTGCTGTGGCTCCCCGTGTCACTCTGATTTATCCCCATACAATGCCCAGGAAGCGCAGCGTGCTTGAAAGGAGGAAGTTATTTTATATTTGAATAATAAAACTCCCACCACCTTTTATCTTCGTCTAAATTATGATCCTTCTCTGTTATCACAGTGACACATCAAACGCGACAGCCCAGGAGTGATTCCAGGGGTGCTCCCTGTGCTGGGGGCTGAGGCTCAGTGGCAGCGTGGCCCTGGCTGGGCGGTGGGACAGACCCACAGACTCACCAGCACCGGGCAGGATCGGCCCCACATCCAGCTTCCCCGGGGCAGTTTGTGCTGGTGGGCCAGTCCCCCTGCCCAGCGCAGAGCACGAACCACCCAAAGCTTTTATTTGCTTCTTCTCCCACCTGTTTTGTGCTCATTTAGTCATTTTGTTCATCTGACGACCTAATAAACTCCCAGCCACGGAGCAATGACACCCCTCACTCAAACCACCCCTCACTCTGCTTCCTGGCAAACCAAGAAGATGCAATTCCTGAAGTAATTAGTCATTATGTGGCATTTTCCAGCCTCCCCCATTTCTGTGGTGCGCGGGACATACAACCACCAATGCTGTGGGATGCCTGGGACCCCCCCCAGCCCCGATACTGTGAAAGTTTTACTTCAGGAAACCCCAGGACACAGCAATTCTACCTGAAATAATGATGTGGCACACTGCAGGTCACAAAGTCAAACAAAAAAACCCACCCAGGGCTATCCACAGCCCTGCAACTGTTGGCCAGCTTTTCCTGGCCCTGCCTGCTGCTGGGAAAAGTGGGGGGTACCAGACACCACAGAGGGCAGGTACAGAAGCCCCCGACATGCAGACCCCCCGGGCTGGAAGAGATGCAGCCTGCAATGCCAGAGACCCCCAGGATCTCTCTTTTCTATCACCTTAAGGGCTCGTCAGGCCACTCCAGCTTTTCACGAGGGAAGACGTTCCCAGCAGCTGGCAGAAGGTGATGCCTGTCCTGGTTCAGCTAGGATAGGGTTAAGTTTCCCCAGCAGAGAGGGGGAAGGGATCTCCAGCCGGGATGTCAGGTTCCATGGCAGCGCGGGAACTTTGTCCTTTGTGGCTTTGGTGATGGGGAGCACACAAGCGAGCTGTCTGTAACCACTGCGGTATTTCTCTGTGTATCTTTTGTCTTTTACTGTTATTACTGTTTATTGTGTGATATGCTATCACTGCTACTGTTGTTGTTCAGATTGTTTATCACACTGTTGTATTAAATTTCTTCTTACTTTAACCCGGAGTTTGTGCCCTACTTGTGTCCGAGGGTAGGGGAGGGACAACAGCAATGTGGTCTCCAGTCCCGGCAGGGCCTAAACCAACACAGGGCCCCACAGCCCCCGGGCCACCAAGGCCAGCAGCGAGGTGCTGCAGGTGTTTTTCCGCAGAGGCAAACACCATCTTTTGCCGGCAGCTCACAAGACCATTTCCAGTGGGTGCTCCTGGGGTCCCCTGGCGGCGTGTGCTCCAGGGTCACCCAGACAGGAGGGACCTGGCCCAACCCCCCCACGGCCCTGGACCCCCTGAGCCCACTCCCCAGTCTCTGCTCCATCGTTTTTCTGCAAAAGATTCCCCAGCACCTGCTTGGCTATTTTTACTGAGGAGAGGACAACAGCAAAACGCTGCTCAGAAGCTATTTCTGCTTCCAGAATCTCAACAGACGACTTTGAATTAATGAAGGAGACTACCCAAGTGACTAATGTGCAGGGACTATCTCCCCAGAAACATCCTCCCGCGTGTCGGATGTCCCTGGGCTGGCATGGTCTGTGCAGCGACGGCTCTGCCCTCCTGCTGTGCCCAACGCTGTAGAAACAAAACCTGCACGTGCACCCCCAGACGTGGGTCCCTGCAGACCCCTGGATGCATGTCCCTGTGTGCCCCAGGATGCGCTTTGCCCGTGCCCGTTCGCACCTGCTGAGGCTGGGACATTCGGGCGCCTCCATCTGCCACATCCTCAATCAGAGCTGATGAGATTAGAGAGAGCACGTTTGCCATGGTGCTTTGGGGGTTCCCACGCTGGGGTCTCGCTTGGACACGGACCCCATGGCCACGACAAGGTTTCTGCAGGGATGTTTAAGGGCAGCTGGCAAGCTCCCGCAGGGCTGCATGCTCACAGGGAGATGGGCCCCCCGCTGGGCTCACGGCATGGCACGGCACGGCACAGCACAGCATGGCACAGCGGCAGCGGCATCCCCCGTGCCCCCGCTGCTCCCCGGTGAGAGCTGCCCGGACCTTCATGCTTGCACCAGGGTTTTGGTTCCCCAACGCCCAGCCTGTGCCGTCCCACTCTGCCCGCACTGACCCTGGCTGCCAGCTCCCCATGGTCCAGAGGGAGCAAAAGGCCCTCCGGGCAGGCACCGACACCGTGGTGCTGGAGACAGAACAAATATTTTCTAGTTTGTCAGGGTACAGGAAGAGAAGGGCTGAGCAGAGCTGGGCCTGCCCTAAGCAACCCGCTGCTGCTGGTCCAGCTGAGCTCTTGGAGGATTTTACTTTGCTTCTTGCCTTCTAGTAAAACAATAAATAAATTCAAATAAGCTTTAAAATGACACATTATTTCCAAACTAGAGAATGAACGTATTCCAGAATTTTTTAAAGACTTGGAGCAGGGAGTTTTTCAGCCTGAACAGTCGGTGTTAGGTTAGTGGTTGGACTAGATGATCTTCAAGGTCTTTTCCAGCCTAGATGATTCTGTGACTCTGTGAACAACTCACCAGAGCGCTCTGGACATGGTGGCTGCCCCGGCCAGGCACTTTTCCTGCAGACTGAGGGTGCCCAGCTCTACTGAAGGTGTTGGCATGAGAGTGGGGGGACCAAGATAGAAACACCCCCAGCAATGCCACCCATGCAGAAGCGGTGACCCACACCCTTCCCTGCACAAAGAGGGTGTGAGGTGCTGCCCCAGGGGCCTTCCCACCCCATGGCAGACGCCCCCCACCCAGAGATGCTCCTTGCCAGGGACCCGCCTGCCCCCCACCCACCTGTGGCAGGTAGGTACGCTGCTGCCTGCTCACAAAACTGATGGTTATTGCAGCTGACATAAAGGGCAAGGGAAGATGAGTCTAAAAATCCAGAGCCAGCAAACGGCAGCTTTTAACTGCCCTGACCTACATACTCTCCTCTGGGAGGACAGGACCTGGGACTCAGGAGGAGGAGATGGGTGGTCAGGCAGCTCACTTGCTTGCTGACAATAAGAAAAAAATCCCAGAGGCTAAAATTTCTCTGCTTCAGGACGGACCATAAGGATGCTAAAACACAGGCACTAGAGCTGAGCATCAGCCATGTTGGGTGGGCTTTGAAGGCACGAGTGGGGCAAACTGCAGGCGGGGGACCATCTGCAGTGGGGGGCTTCACCCTGTGCGAATCCCACCCTAAGGCCTGGGCAGAAACATTTGGAAAAAAAAATAAAAAACCATTTTTCCCCTCTCTGGCATGTAGACATCACTGGTACCAGCACTGTGAGCAGCCCCCCCAGTCATGGCTTGGAAATGCAGCCTTGGCATCATGCCATACAGGAATTAATAAAGAAACCAGCGTTACACCAAAGTCCTAACCCTGGCTGTATCAGACATTCATACCTTGGCCAGACTTCACATA